GCGGAAGTCAGTTTGCTCGCGCAAGGCACGCCGGGAAGGCGGCGGAGACACGCGGCGGCTTCGGGATCAGGGTTGGGTTGGGGGTGTGTGTCTGTGTCTGTGCCGCGGGACACGGGCCCGGGAAGGGGGGTGGCAGCGCGGGAACACGGAGGAGGCGCTGGGGTTTGCCTGGGCGGGCTGTGGGGGAACACCGGGCCGCCCCTCCGCTTCGAGCTCGCGCCGACTGTTTCTCCTCAGGTCTCTGCCGGCGGCTGACAGCAGGGCCCGACCGCGCGCAGTGCCCCCCCCGCCGCCAGCATGGGCAAGAAACGCAAACTGGGCAAGAGCCGGAGGGACAAGTTCTACCACCTGGCCAAGGAGACGGGTGAGGGGCCTGCCAGCCCCTGCGGGGTTGGGGGGCTGCTGCCCCCGTAACCCTGACACTTGTAACCCGCGGCTCTCCCTCCCACAGGCTTTCGCTCCCGCTCCTCCTTCAAGCTTCTGCAGCTCAATAGGAAGTTCCAGTTCCTGCAGAAGGCTCGGGCGCTGCTGGACCTGTGCGCAGCTCCTGGCGGGTGGTGAGTGATGTCAAGGCCCCAGGTCAGCCCAGTGCCACCAGCTGCCCCGAGACCTTGTTGTGAAGCGGCTTTTGTATTGTCTGTTGTGGCGGGGGGTGTCCTCAATGCCAAACCTGATCCCAAAGCCTGGGCAGCACAGTTCAATGCTGGAGGCTCCCCGGGATCCTGCTGTAGCTTTGTTCCTCTGCTCTTTCCAGGTTGCAGGTGGCTTCCAAATTCATGCCGGTTTCCAGCTTGATCATTGGTGAGTGATGAGACTGGGCAGGAGCACACTGGGAAAAGGGACCTCCATGGCAGTCCCTGGATGAGGGCAAAGAAAGGGGATCCTGATAGGAGGAGAGGGAGGGTGGGGAAGCCACGTGGAATGGGCTGGAGCCCAGTTTTGAGGGGCTGCGGTGTTCATTTCTCTTTCTTACACCAGGGGTGGACTTGGTCCCCATCAAGCCTATTCCCAACGTGGTGACGCTGCAGGAGGACATCACCACTGAGAAGTGCCGCCAGGTATGAACCTGTCTCACCTGCCCTGAGCGTCACATGCCAGTCTGGGTCTCAGCAGGTTCGTCTGCAGTGGGAGTGGGCATCACCCCACATGGTCAGTGGGGCTTCGCTCCGAGGTGGGATAGAGGCAGGGGGCTGAGTTGATGTGGACGGGGGGTGCTGCCTGTTAGTTCTTGCAAAGGGGTTAGTGGGACAAATGCGTGTCCCCATCCCTCAGGCCCTGCGCAAGGAGCTGCAGACATGGAAGGTGGATGTGGTGCTCAATGATGGAGCACCCAACGTGGGAGCCAGCTGGGTGCATGACGCCTACTCCCAAGGTGAGGCCTGCCTGGGGCTGCTGTGTGGCCTGACACGGTCTGGAAGGGTACAGGAGCAGGCACATCTCGTGCCCTAGCAGCGCAGGGTGTCAGGGTGTGCACTGTGGGACAGGGAGCTGGGCGGTGGGACAGTGACGACTACTGACTGCTCTTCTCCCCTGCTCCAGCCAACCTGACCCTCATGGCCCTGAAACTGGCCTGTGAATTCCTCTGCAAGGGAGGCTGGTTCATCACCAAGGTTTTTCGTTCCCGGGACTACCAGCCGCTCCTCTGGATCTTTCAGCAGTTCTTCCACAAGGTCCAGGCCACCAAGCCACAAGCCTCCCGCAACGAGTCCGCTGAGATCTTTGTGGTGTGCCAGGGTGAGTGGCGGGGGGACCTGCAGCTGTTGCAATGGAGTTGGAAAAAACCTGCTGATATCTCTTGATTCCTCCATCCCAGGTTATCAGGCACCGGACAAAATTGACAGCAAGTTTTTTGACCCAAAATACGCCTTCAAGGAGGTGGAGGTTCAGACTAAATCTGTAAGCGAGCTGGTCAGCAAAAAGAAGCCAAAGGTATGAGCAAGGCCAAACACAGACAAATGGGACTGGGGATTGGGACCAAAAAGATGGTAATAAGCAAAGTTGCTCAGGAAAATGAAAGGTCTTGGGATGCTAAGTAGGGAAGAGCCAGTTTTGGGGAGGTTTGCAGCCTTAGAAAGCGCTGCAGTGGTGGGGAAACAGTGATACAAGTTGCGAGGCTGGGATGGATCGGTAAAACCCAATGGCTGGCTGCTGGGTTGGTGTCTTTAGGACATAGGAGTGTAAAGACCATCTCAGGTGGCCCCAGCTGGGTACGGAGCTGACACAAACCTCTCTCACTGTCACTTCTCCGAGTCTGAGGTGGGACTGGGAGATGCCATCGAGCTGGCATGTCGGGGTTGGTAACTTGCCCTTGTCCCTAAGTCATGAGAGTACATTTAGGTGACCGCTGCAGCAAAACGTGAGTTACGTGACATCATACTTTAGGGACAGCTGAAAAGCTCTTGCGTGTGCCCTGCCATGGCTCCTGCAGCTCCTTCCTCCTGTAGGCAGAAGGCTACGCAGATGGCGACACGACCCTCTACCACCGCTTCACCCTGATGGACTTCCTCAAGGCTCCCAACCCCGTGGACTTCCTCTCCAAGGCCAACGAAGTGAGTGCCCAAAGTGAGAGGGACCTTTGTGGCCCCTGAGACGTCCCCAGTAGCCCAGAGCGATGAAAAGAGGGAGTCAGGTGCCCCAGCAATGGCCCTGTTCGTGTTCCTGCAGGGGAGGGGTAGGGCAGGAGCTGGAGCTCAGGCCTCACAGCCGTTTCCCTCTGCTCTGTCCAGATCACACTGGGGGACGGTGAGCTGGAGAATCACAGTTCCACCACGGAGGAACTGCGTCAGTGCTGCAAGGACATCCGCGTGCTGGGACGCAAAGAGCTCAGGTACTGGGGGGGACTGGGGTAGGGCGTTATGCTGGGCCTGGTGGGTGTCTCTAACC